CTTGATTCGTGAAATCTTCAGAATCTCTTAGGAAGTCCATGACGTCGTTCTCGTTCATCATTTTTGGTTCTTTTTTTCTTTTAATTTCTAACAGTTCTTTTGCTTCTAACTATGCGAATTAATGTCGCAAGATGGAGAATTTCAAATTTTTCGCCCCTCTTTCTTTTTTGTTTTCTTCTCCTGAGAGGTCCAACTGTAGCATATATGCGACGTTTTGCTTTCTTTTTTCCTTTTTGTTTTAAATAATAAACTATACGACAAAATATGTGAAATAACAGTTGTCGAGTAATGTCCGCGTAACAAGCGCCATACTTTCGCAATTCCGATGCATTTTTAATAAACAAAATAAATATAATGGTTTAGTTTCCGTATCTCTTTCGCAGTTTAATACCCTTCGGTAGACCTGCGAATTAACGCATATCCGTTGTGAGACGGTCGCATAAAGAATCGCATTTATCAGACCAAAATAATTGTTTAATAATTGTTTTACACAAAAAGTGGGTATGCGAATATCCTCCAGTTGACTTGCGAATGCATTATGCGACGTTTATTTGTCGCAATTATGTGTGTCGCATAATAGAAAATCTCCAAAAACAATTTTTTGTTTAAATAAACTCTTCGATTATACTACGAATGTTGTGCGGTTTGTATGCGAATTTGTTTCGACTAATTGTTTAGGCGACGTTTGTATTTCGACTAATTGTCGCAGGTTCATTAGCCTAAACTACGTGTTATGCGTAATATTTTCGACTAATAGTCTCAGGTTCATTTCGCCTAAAAAAGAATTTTCAAAAAATTAAATTCTAAAAAAAAATATTATGCAACAACTAGGCGAATAATACGCGACGTTTGTATTTCACAGAATAGAAAATTTCAAAAAGAAATTAAAAAAAAAATAAATTTTTCTTCATTTATACTACACGAGTGTTTCGCAATGTGTGTCGCAGAATAGAAAATTTCCAAAAATAGTTTCTTTTTCTTATTATGCACCAACTAGGCGAATAATATGCGAAGATTGTATTTCGCAGAATAAAAGATCGAATAGAAATCCCCACACTACTACTTTTACAGTCGCTTCAACCCCAGACGATTACAAAGTTAAAAAAAAATCGAAGGACCAGTCAAGCCTAAAAAAAGCTAGGACGAGGGAGCCGACGAGCTACCAACCTACCACAGCGCTCAGACTCCAGAAAGAGGAGCTGTAGGTGGAGCTTGTTTGTGGAGTTCCATGTAGAACTCCAGCATGAGATCGGCCCCGACCACCACGCTCTGAACCGATGGGCTCTGACGGGTTCCGAAAAGAGATCCCGTCGACCAAACATCTTCCACTGTCAGGAAAACCTGGCCGACCACAACCTAAAGAGATTGAGGCCAGCATTGCCTCTGACAGAAGGCCGGGCCGTTACGCCCCGGCCGCCGACGCGCGCCGTTCTGACCTTCAACCTTCTCACAGTTGATACAGCAATACCCGGGCCCGGAGGTTTGATCTTCATCGTCGCTGTCTCGGCATATATGTTTCCTGCCGGGGCCAAGTTAATAAAGACTGGATAGTGGAATTTCCGCTCGTTGAATTTTTTTCTCCGACGAATTCGAAAGGTTAGGAGTTCTCAATTCGGACACAGTAATCTTAAAGAATTGTCTCACGGGACGAAAGAAAGAATTTTTGTAACTCTGGTTTATCTCAGGAGAACTGCTTCTCATATACAAGAAAAGGGAAAAACAGAGGGCCATTAACAAAGAGTTCTGTGGGACGGATGGGTAGTAAGAGAAGTGGCATGATATGGATCGAAGATTACACGCTTTATATAGACGGATGAAATGATTTGCGTGCACGCTTTTACTGCCCAGGCGTTTTGAAAAGCGGATAAGACGCCTCGAAATCGGCCGTAACGTTCCAACTGCCAGCGGTTTCTAAACCATTCTAAAATTTAAATTTTTAAAAATAAACTTTCGATCGATGAAAGATGAAAGATGAAAGAAATAAAAAATAAACTTTCGAGTAGAAGCGCGAAGGGGGTATGCGAGCAATATGCGGTAATTCGCATACACCATCGCATAACTGAAATAACAGAAAGATGAAAGAAATAAAAAATAAACTTTCGAGTAGAAGTGCTAAGGTGGTATGCGAGTAATATGCGGCAATTCGCATACCCCATCGCATAACTGAAATAACTGAAAGATGAAAGAAATAAAAAAATAAATAAAAAATACATTTTCGAGTAGAAGTGCGAAGGGGGTATGCGAGCAATATGCGGTAATTCGCATACCGCCTCGCATAACTGAAAGATGAAAGAAATACGAAAAAAACTTATTATGCACTAATTCCGCGAATAATATGCGACGTTGGCATGTCGCAGTTGTGTCGCATAATAATTTTTTCGACTAATAGTCGTTGTTCATTCGCCTAACAAAATAATTATTTAATGGGCGACGGACCGCGATTGACCGAATCGTACATCGAATCTCCGAATATTCATCGTAGAACAGTCGCATACTTTAACTCATAATTTTCTCGTCCATGCTCATACATGTCGCCTATTTAGCGCATAGTTCATCGCATATGTCTTCGTACTTTTTGGGGGTGAAAAACTTAGCTTTCTATTGGCTGGTGTGAAAAACTTAGTATGACTTCAGAACGGGGTGAAAATAGCTATTTTTTGTTAGAATAATATGTATTACAACACCAGAAAAGTTGAAAAAACGGAAGCACACAAAAATATAAAACAAAAAACTTTTCGAGCAGCGTCCCACTACCCCTCAGAACAAAAATGTTCTTTTGATTGATTCTGCAGTCTCCATGTTTGGAAGGTCCGACTCAGCGACATAAGGAAGGTGCATCTCGTATCTATTCCTGAACACATAATACATGCATTAGTTATTTTCAGTTAACTAATATCTAGTAAATTAATATAAAGAACATAAAGTAAACTTCTCTTAATTATTCCTGATCAGTCTATTCCACGGGTAAAGATGAAGGTTCGTCGATTTACTGTCAACCTTCAAATAATTATAATTAGGCTAATTAAAATTAGATTAATGAAATTAAGAAAATTAAATAGAGGAGGGCATCTACATAATTTTATTTTTGGAAGAAATTGTAGAAATAAAATTTCAAGATTAAAAACATTAATCGAGCTTGGAAAGAATGCAAAATGTGTTATGCTTTCTAGTAAAGAAACGGGACGCCACAGTGGTTGCGGCTTCGTGCAGTGATTTTTCTCTCCAAGTTTGGTGATGATCAGACAATCCCCGGGGTTGAATATGCTTGTCGGGATGCATTAAACGAGACCGTACGATCTTCTGTCCTATGACCTCTACACCTAATCTGAGTAGTCTTGGTAGGCGACTAAATGGAACTCCCAAAACCTCACGATCTATGACTCACGATTTTATCTCCTTGTAGATGACTAAAAAGGCGTGTGAATATCCCCAGGGTTAAATATATGTGAATCTGCTACGACGCATCCATGTGTACATTGTACGTGTCGAAAAATTGGGATCTGAACATTTAAGAAGTCCATTTTTTTGCGTCACACACTCTCCCAAAAAAAACATTGAATGAGAAAAAAGGCCACATGCAAAGGCCTAAGCACAAGATTTCATTTCAACACAAATCTAGTTAGCTCGTCCCTGAAATGGAGGGGCTAGATCATGTAGCACTCATAAGAGCTCGATAGACCGACCTGAGCAGGTAGCTCGGCCGGTCCAGAAGAGCTCCAGTATGTTGTAGATAAGTTATTCAGCCATGTAACCTGTATGTGGGCTTAAGGTACCGACCGACCTGAAGAAGACGACCTGGGGATGTTGATCTCTATGAGCTCGGCAATACGCCAACCCCGAGGTATCGAGGTCGTATGATTCTATGTCAGGTTAGACCTAAGGATGAGGCCGTGTCCGACCTCGGGTAATTCACGACGGGTGGTTCAGGAGGTCGAGGTCATGACCTAAGGGTAGTACATTAAGGGTAGAGAAGAAGGAAACAATCACTTGATCAGAGACACTTGTCTAGATAGAGACATGGTAAGTTAAAAAGTATGATCTAGATAGATCTCTTCCTTAATAAGGACTCTCTTGGGTACCAAGATAACTACCCTACAGAATGTAACATGTTCTTCTTCATCTCATCATCGCATGCTACGCTTTTAATTCTATTTTCTCATATACAATTGTTTGAGCAAGTTCTAACTTTAGCGTCAGAGGTTTTTCCGCTACGACCTCCTAGAGGCGTATTGCAGGTCACCAGAGCACAAAAACGGAGGCAATTTGAGGCGTAAGCGAATCGACCCGATATGTGACAAAAGTGACGTAACATTAGCTGCCCTTCACAAAACCACCCAACATCTTGAGAACTCCATCGTCATATATGAAAATTTGACAATAAAGACAAAAGTTATTAACATGTAATATATATTTATAATTTAAGTTATTCAAGTGTTTCAAAATTTTTAAAGTTCTAATACGTAGATATATAAATCAAAATCTAAATGGACTAATACGAAATACCAGTAACATATAAAATTAAGAAGCACTAGAATTTCGAACATTATTACGCGAAGCACCAGAAATCGACATATGATTAGAAACACTCTAAGTACACAACTTATAGGCTCCAAAAATTCTGGGGAGATTGTTATCTTATATAAGTTCATAATGTCTTATATTTTTTGCAGAATAATTTTTTTCTACTTTTTCGTTTCTATTTCAAACTTGACTATTTGTTTGCGAAAATTCTTATATGTAATTGAAAAATGTATTTCTCATTCTTATTTATCGGGCACCTATGATATCTTAACTTAAATTAGTATTATTATTATTATATTATTATTATATTATTATTATTATTATTATTATATTTTTATTTTTTTTAATTAGTGGCTGATGAGAACTGAAGTCTATCCTCATCTACAGTTTCCCTCCCAAAGAAACACCCACTCACCCACAACACAATTCACAAACCTTGACTTAATTCAATCCAGAGGCCAAACCCCCACCACCCCCTCATGGATACCCTCTTAAGCTCAACCTCCCTCTCCACCCTCAGTGTCTCCGGCCTCCGTCACCACCCCAAAGCTCACCACCTCAAAACCCATTTTCCTCCACGCTTACCGATTTCTCCCACCGCCAACCCCCAAAAAACTCCAAACAAAGCAGCAGCAGCCGCCGCCACTTTCTCCCCCCACAGAAACAACCACCCACCGTTAACAACCTTCAATCCTTCGCCTCAATCTGCAAACCCACCTCCCGAACCGCAATCCTGCCGGAATCCGACCACCGGCTACGCGGCCGCCCTACTGGACGTCGCGAAAACCCACGCAGCCCTCGCATCGGTGAACCGGGACGTGAGGAGGCTGTACAAATGGTTTGGGAGACCGGAAATTACGAACGTAGTCTCGAGCCCTAATCTGGGGAAGGGGGAGATACTGAGAGAGATGGTGACAAGGGGAAATTTTCACAAGTATCTGGTAAAATTGGTTAATTTGTTGGTCGGAAAACGTGGTTTCGAGGTGGGTATGTTGGGCGAGGTTCTGATGGAATTCACAAGGATTTATGGGGAGCTGCTGATGGGCGGCCCTTCTGGTGCTGCTGATGGGCCGGTGGTTTTGGTCTCGCCGGGGGTGAGAATGGGAAGAGACCAAATTTATGGGGTCTCTGAGAGAATACGACAGATTAGTGGGGCCGTGAAGGCAATTACCGTGAGACAGCTCGCGGGTGACCACAGATTGCCTGCATTTGCTGTTTGATCGAAACTTAAAAGTTTATTTTGTGTTGCTAAGTCAAAGAAATGTCGACTTGCAACTCTTGGTGCGTGTCTCAGTTTACATTGAAGGGTACATCAGGGGCGGATCTATTTTCAAGCTAGGGGGGCCATTGTCCTCCGAAAAATTTCAATTTTTACTATTATATATACATATAAATGATAAATATATTATTTTTCACATAAAATCATATATTTATATTAAAATAATAATTGTATTACACTTTCTACTAATAATTCAACTATAAATTATATTCTTTTTACACTTTTGTATAATATTTTTCTAATTTAAATAAATTGAATGTATGGAAAATATGTGAAAACATAAAAGTTGGTAATTCTTGAAAAAGATGGTTATATAAAATATGCTTAATAGAAAGAAAAAATACAAAAACTATCAGTACTGCGTCAATCATTAATGAGATAATGAGTTGAGAGATAGTTCAATCTAAATTTTTTATTGTCAATGTTTGAAACTTTATAATTCATATTGCACTATTATTTTATATAATTTTATAATACAACTTTCTATGTTTTATATACATTAAATTCAAATCTATAATTTCCTTAAAAGAATAATGCTACTTGTACCCATTGGTGTACCACTTGGTTTACCTCCAAGGGGTACATGTACCAATTTACCCTTAATGAATAATTTACTAAATTATTCATTAAGGGTAAATTGGTACATGTACCCCTTGGAGGTAAACCAAGTGGTACATCAATGGGTACAAGTAGCATGATCCTTTAGTCCATGAGATCAGTCTACTTGGTTTTAAGGCAACAACAATAATTCTTTTAGATCATTATTTAATTTATACGATTTTGCTATGAAGCCAACATTTTGCTCCATGGTAGAGTCAACTTTTTATATACAACCAGCAAACAGTATCATATTTATAAAATTATTAGTATTATGTTGGCTCCACTATGGAGCCAACTATTGACTTCATAGCAAATATGTTTTATGCAATTCTCAACTGTCACTTATCAATTTGCTATTCCTTGTTTCACGGATCACTATAATAATTTTATATAACACCATCTCCAACAATGTTTCAATTGCAGAATTGTAGACGCAATGCTTGAAAAAAACTTCTCCAACAGTGTATTTCTACTCTATTTGTGATGTAGCATGAAAGAGACATAAAAATTCTAGAACTCTTTACACATCTCAAAACCCAATTAGACATGTCGAGTCGCCAATTTTGCTCCTATTTATTTTTTATTTTTAATTAAAGAAATAATTAGATTGGAAAGAGGCGTAATGCACAAATTTTTTTTGCGGGATACTCTTAAAAAAAATATCAATACAAACCTACCTAATGAATAGTTCTTAAAAAAAATAGATATC